AATGATTTTGGGCGGCTCGAACAGCAATGGCAGCGAAGGGGGAGTGTTGGAACAGCAGCTAGGCAGCTAGGCTGCAAGGATGCGGTTCAAGTGACTAGAACAAAAAATTGACAACAAGGTAAGGGATTTACAATGCTGCAACAACGAAGCAAAATGGCTGGATAAGCTGGAGGCAGGCATTGGGCTGGTTGAGCCGAGAGGCAACCCGGATAGCAGGCGGTTGGCTTTTGGGAGGAGGTAATCTATAGTGAGAACGACCAAGAGGGTTGTTTCTTAGCGGCGCCAGCAAAAAGGCAACAACAACGACAAAGGTAAGGATGTAGGAGAAGAGTAGGAAGAGAATAGTCACCACCTCAGGCACAAAATACAGCCAGAACACCACTCATCCTTTGGATATAACCCTCAAATAGAAATTTGAGACATTGATTGTTGTCCCAACAGAAATCACACCAAAACTAACCCTACATACATACAAAAGCAAATACATAATAATAAGAAAGCTAGAAGTGACTTAAGAGGATCAATCAACTCAGAATAAAACATAGACCTATTTGGTCCAGGTAATATGTGAGAGCTGCTCGGTTGTGGATGTTCCCGCATGCGGTACGCGATCCCGTATCTGCTCTTTGACGGCCACGTCAATCTCCTGGGGCTGGAGGAGCAAAGTTTCAACCTCATTCACCGAAGCTTCTGACTTTCATGAAATAGTGTCTGATCGACCGCTTGAAGTTGGTGGATCTATTGTAACTTCCCAGTAAATTACTCTTGCATGTGTGGTTATTCCAAAACACATCTCGATTGAATAAATATTCATCATCTTTTGGCACAACCAAAGCTAGAACTACATATAATTGTAAATTCTAGCAAATTAACTCTCGAGCCATGAGGTTTGTAACCTTCTTTTCCCACTTATCATACTCGACTGAATGAATTCAATAAACAATTCAGTCAAGAGGAAACAACTCTAAATAGAGATTTATGGTAGCTTGGACCCCACTGAAGTATAACCACTCAGAAAATGTCTCTTCTTCTTTTCGACAACGACCTGGATCTCACTATAGGATTTTCCTTCTTGCTTAGCTACTAAAGCAATTTCCAATATTGCAGGTCATCTATCCTGTTGATCGTCTGTCGTTGGGTACACAGTTGAAGTGATTTTAATACTCAGATGACTCCATATAGTCTTCTAGAAGTGGCGCAAAAGTTCCTCATTTTTAATATTTTGAATCACTTTCGGTGACAACTAATCAGGCGGCATGTTAGTTAGGATGTCTAGCAATTCCATCAATAGGCGTCAACCCTTTTTAGATATCGGCTCCGTATACTCGTTATCTCCTTAAACAACTACTGTTAATTAAGTTGGAATCACTAGTGTCTCTTCATCGTCGATTGGAAGTTGAGAATCCTCTCTGAAATCTTAATTTTCTCCTGGATCACTATTTATTTCTTCAAATATTTCCTGATCAGTAAAAGGGATCATTCTCCTGGTTGTGCAATCTAATTCAATATGCTCAAATCTGTGACACTTGAAACAATTTCTGGATGGGACGAAATTGGGAATGTGGATTGGTGACTCATGTTCTCTATTCTAGAGTTGTATCTCCTCAGGCAGCGTCAACCGAAATGCTCTGATAGGTGTGCCTCTTGCTACTCTAACCTGAGTTTTAACTCTGCTTACGAGATGTGGCGATCACCCGGTGAGGTTGTCACTCCACTTTTGAAGCTATAGTTTAAACATCCTGTCGATAAAAAATTTGAAAATACTGGCATTGCTTCTCTAGTTTCATCTTAGACAATGTAGTAATTTTACTCTTTCCTTCTCGGTGTTGAAGAATCTACAAGTTCTATAGAAAAAATGCATTCTTCCTTGGCTTGTTGGCAGCTAATTTCATCATTCAGTTTGGTGGGATGACCTAGTACTCAAAGACATGTTTCAATGTCCAGAGTCACTTGATGAACTGGTCTAGTTCCATCCCGCCATCAAAATAAGACAAATTCACATTTATTTCAAAATCCTAACTTCTCCAATATTTCCTGTCAAATCTTCGAGGTAGTAGTTCTCCATCTCTGAAATCAATTGAATTTTGTGTGACCCCTCTAGATCGTCTTCTCTCGAAGGCAACGAAAGTTTGTTGCAATTGTAGGACTTCCCTATAACGTTCCTCCACATCTCTTTGTGGATTTCTCAAAAGTGGCATTGTGTAATTTCCTCCCAATTAAATTTTCGGCAATTATTTTCTTAGTGGAGTGGTTAGGGTTAGGGTTTGGGTAGAAGGAAGAAGGTGTATGGGATGATGTAGAGTGGGAACGAAAAACTTTGGGTGGCCAGTTTGAAAAACTAGGAGAAGATTTTTGTGTGGAGGTAGGGTTTGGGTATTGGTGAATGCTAGAAACCCTATGATGAAACTAGGATTAGGCTGCTTCTGATACTAAATGATATCAAAATTAACCAAATATATATATACATATATATATAACATATATATATTATTGAAAAAGCAAATAGGAGATTACAACCAACACACTAAAATACGAAGCACGACACACTAAAATAGAAAATAACAACCACGGGACTCACGACACATGGTCAGGGTGTATCTTAGGTGGTGGTTGTGATGGTCGTAGGGTGCTTAGATAGGCAGTAGCAAGGAGGGAGGTGGATTTGAAAGCAAAAAACAGCGGCTAGGGACGGTTATGAGCGGCAGGAATAGCAGCTAGGCTGCGGGGAGGTGGCTCTAGCGGCGGGTACAGCAGTGAGGCGATAAGGGGAATGATTTTGGGCTGCTAGAAGAGTAATGACAATGCAAGGGGAGGGTTGGAACAGCAACCAGGCTGCATAGAAGCAGTTTAGATGGCTGGAACAATAGTGGAGAGTAAGATGAGGGGTTTACAGAGCTAGGACAGCGAGGCAAGACAACTAGATAGGCTGAAGAGAGATACACTAGGATGGTTTAGCTGGGAGACAATCAAGATGGCAAGCGACTGGCGGCTGGGAGGCGTGGAAACTGTGGAGAGAACAACCAAGAGGGTTGTTTCCGGGCGGTTGCAGCAAGAAGGCAGCAACGACGGCGAAGGGAAGAATTTGGGGGAAGGGTGGCGGAGGATAATCACCACTTTGAGCGTGAGATACATCCATAACATGACTAGTCCCTAGGATACAGCCTTCAAAAGCAAGATTAAGATGACGAGAGCTATCTCGACAAAAAACAAGCCAATAAGGGTGTAAACGAGCCGAACATAAGTGAGCCCAAAACTTGCTCGTGTTCTGCTTATTTGAAATTTTTTATGTTCCAAATAAGCCCATGTCCAAAATAGCTTGAAAAATAACCTTGTTTGTGTTCGACTTGATTTAAATTCAAATTTATTCGAATTAGCTGATATTTGGCTTGATTTTCGGCTTGATTTAAATTCAAATTTATTCGAATTAGCTGATATTTGGCTTGATTTTCTGCTTCATAAATATATATATATTTATTTAATTTATTTTAACTTGTTTGAGTAGAAATAAACTTATGATTTTAAAATATTTCCAAAAAACAGAATCTGAATTATTTCCAGCTTCATAATCACAGGCAGCTTTTTTACATTTAAATGTGATTTTTAATTGAAAATCCTTCTTACTCAGACGATGTGGGACTAAATATAAAATGCAAGTGGCAAAATTGTGTCATTGTGGTGCCATTTACATACATACCACCCAAATCTTATCCATTTATATATACCATTCAAAGCAAAAAAGAAGACCCCCCTGCAGAATTTTTTGGGAAAATCTCACTGCATTACATGCATACGATCAAGTCTATGTATTTACATATATAATTCCTAAACAAAAAAAAAGATAAGTGCTCTATTTTAAGGAAATTGGCATACATACCATCCAAATCTTATTTATTTACATATCCAGCACCTAAAATTATTTTTTATAATTATAACACCAAAATAATTTTAAAAATTAATTAAATTTAGCAATTTTAATACATACAAAAAATTAATATAAAAGATATAAATAGATATTATTATTTAATTATTTAATTATTTTGAGTGAATAAGCCGAACACGAACAAACAAACTTTTGTTCGTGTTTGGTTTGCTTGCTTAACAAACAACTCAAACACGAGCTATTTAACAAACCGAACACGAGCTTTTCATGAACGACAAGCATTTTATGCGGCGCTACACACCAAAACTAACCCTAGACTCCGACCAAATTAAATATAATAACTATGATGGGCCCAAAAGAACCGACTGACTCCTCAGAAAAAGTAAAGCTTGGACCGGATCGGTCAAGCAAGATACTAGAGCAGCTCAGCCGTAAACATTCCCGCATGCGGGACGAGATCCCGTGCCCGCCCCTTAACGCCCGTAGCAGTTTGATGTCCACAATCTATTAGTTTGCGAAAAATTCATTATTAAAATAAAAAAGTGGAATGTCAAAGCATCTTATAAACATAAGAAATGCAAGAATAACACACATTATATGATCAAATTTACATATACCTGAAAACTAATCAATTATAGGTAAATAACCCTGTAACAGATAATCCACCCTGAAATGAAAATTTGTGGTCGCAACAATTCCTTCAGAAGCAGCAAACTAAGAAGTCATAAAAAATGTTCTTTCCTAACCATTGCCTTAAAGTCATCTTTAAGAACAGAGCAGGGAAATTGAGCAATCCATCTTCCCTCATCGCTTTGCTTCCTTTACATAAACATTACTATTTTAAAGATTAAGGATACAAAACATAGTTCTGAAGGATAATTGATCTGGAAGTGACTTCCAAAGATTATAAAAATCGAATGAGGCCCATAAAATTTAATTAGTCAGAGCATAAACAATGTAATGAGGCACATAAACTTCAAGTTGAAAGAGTAAGAAAGGAAAAAAGAAAAACATAAAGCAACTCAAAATAAAAGTTCGCACAATCAAGCAGACCCAGCAAGTGTTTTGAAGTAAAAAAAATACCATATTTCAAAAAAAGAGGTTGAAAGAAAGAATATACCTTTATGGCAAAGAGATCACCAGTTGTTCGCTTCTTGGCTAAGAAAACCCTACCAAATGCACCACGACTAATTGGTTTTATGATCTCGAAGTCATCAATGGATGTGCGGTCCTTATTAATAGGGTGAACAGGGCTTGCACGCAAGCTTCGCACTACATCATCATCTTCATCCATTATCGCACTTGTTGCATCAGCCTTTTCAAAATCAACTGCATCACATAGCTGAATGTATTTTTCCCTAAGAGAAATATCCCAAAAGATGAGAAATGAATGAAAAAGCTCAAAAAACAAGATAAACTAGTAAAATTCCAAATCATATTTAACAGCAACTATCTCACATTATAGTATAATCATCCATAGAATATGCACTCATGCTCCTGTGCATTACATACCCACATTTGTGATGCAAGCATGCCAGTTTATATAAATTCAAGCACAAAAATAAACAAGGCATCTCTGGTCATGCATGAAAATTAAAAGCAAAAACACATGGGCAAGCATAGATACATACAAATGAATTAAAAAAAGTTTGAGTCAACCCACTGGTGAAGTTTTTCAATGCGTGTTCCAAAAGTCTGTACAGTAAGTGCCTCAAGTTTCCGATGATTGACAACCTCTTGCAGATCTTCCATACAAGAAACCAAATATGACAGAGATGCTTCCTCATCGACAGAAGTATTTGCAACACAACGGGCAATGTCAGCAAGCTCGGCAATCTGCATTGAAAAATTAAAAAAATGTTGGACATTCTTGAAAAAAAAAATTCACCATCCAAGAAATAAAAAATATTCACATTTTTGTTTCAACTTAAACAAGCAAGCATATGTTAAAGGCAACAACATGTTTCATCCAACAAAACCTCATGAATTAAGCATTCATCCATCTCGTGAAAAATGATAACAAACAGTAGTCCAACATTGCGTAAGAGTGCTAAAATTCAAGAGGAAAACACATGCAATGTCAGCGCAATAATATTAAATAGTTTCATAACCACTAGTAAAAAAAAGCCGTAATATTTTAACCTTCAAACAAGACAGAATCCAAAATTGCTGTTATCGATTCCAAGAAAGCTGTAAAATCTATGCCAAAACCAAAGGAATGAATCCATCTTCAATGTTTCATCCATGTTGGACTTTTCTAAAAGCAACAAACAATAACTAATCTAGGGTTATGAAATGTGGGTAGAGGCTGGCTACAATGTCACAGTTTTCTCACGCACAACTTTACCACAATTATGGTATGAGAGAGAAAATGGTAGGCTTAAGTGGCACAAAGGATTTTCACTTGCAAACCTAAACTCATAAAACACACAAATAGATTCAATCAGCATGAGATTAATCACTATAAGCCTGATGATCATGATGATGATGGTAGGGATGACGATGACGATGACGATGACAATTGTAATGATGAAAAAAAAGCTTCTTATTGAGGTGGATTTCGTCAATGCAAATCTTTGCCATGACTAGTTCTAGTCTTCAAAAATCTATGATTGTGAAAATGGTTACAATGAAAATAAAGAGATAAGAAAATTAACATATTTCCAAATAATAATAGTAAGATAACAGTTTTTGAAATTCCATAGTTGGGTCTCTGGATGATGGCTAGCGCATTAAACTTAACATTCAATCAGAAGAAAATGTGCAAACACCTATATTTGTGTGGCTTCGTCCTTGTGATTCCCGTGTTATAAGCATTAGGCTAGCAAAAAAACGATCAAATGAATTAGAAACAATCAGGATAAATATTAACTAACCTGAGGAAGATCTTCAATTTCTGATATTGCACTCCTAGCAGCCAAAAGCATGTCTATATGGTTTGCTTTTGGTGTTACTAGTGGTGACCTGGGAGTCATACTGCCAGCAGAAGAGGAAGCCATTGCTTGATCAGACTTCGGAGCAAAACGAGTCTTACATGTCATGTTTGGAAGGCTCTTTAAGTCATCAAAGAAAACAGAATTATCAGTCTCCGGGAAACAGTCAAGCATATCAGCTGAATCTCTACGTGGCCAATCACTGATTTTTGGAGAAAGGACATCAGTTTCTTCATTAGGACTTGAATTAGATACTTTAGTAACATCTGGACTGCCAGATGTATTGGGGACTTCCTTCTGCGAATAGGATTCTATTATTTTTTCCAAGGTCTCTGCAATTCTAAGAAGACGTTCCTTGACACTTAAACCCTTTTGATCGCATCTATCTGCAACAGCACAGATTGTTGAATGATCCTCAACATATAAAGTTGGAACGTACTCCTCACAAATACGACACATTATTGAACCATCTTCAGAAAGAGTTTGTTGATCACTCCAGTTACCCCATGAAACTTTGTGCTGATGTTTTGATGGAGCAGAAGGGTGTAAGTTTGTCTCTCCAGTGCTGCTTACCTCAGCTGTTCTAAAAGTTGTTATGTCTGAATCGGTGTTGTCTTCCCTATTTAACAATGGCAAATTCATAACAGATGAATCATATTTCACGGGACTGGCGTCCTTCTGGTTTTTCACTGAAGGTGAAGGGAGAGGCTTCCAAGAAGCGATGCGTTCCCTGCCTGCAAGTGTATCATCTTCCTTTGTAATATCTAGCTCAAATTGTGAGATGAAATTTGAAGGTTTTATCTCCTGGCTTTTCAATTTTAAATTATGCTGATTCTGACTGTAAAACTTTCTAGAAGTAGGAGCCTCATTGGAACCCCTCACAAAATTAGCACTTCTCCCATCTTTTCCAGCTGCAATACTTTTATCAGCTGAATGAAGCTGACGGATGTCCATAACAACCTCATCTACAGCAAAGACACTCTCCTTGTGAAACTGTAGCAATCTAGTACACCTCGTAAGAATAAAAAGCATCCGAGTGTGAAGTTTCTTCAACACCCCCATGGGGAGCGCCTGACGACGATCATCCAAATCCTGAACTATGCCTTCACATTGGAGCCAAAACTCCCCAGGAGTTGTGACACAACAGGACCTGGCAAGCACTAGTAAGTCCTCTAACGTTTCCCTCCAGTCTGGATGACTCTCTGCACTTTTCTCCAATAATCCAACCAAGTCACCTCCGAAAATAGCTAGGTCAGAGTTTACCTCTTCCTTTGCCTTCTCAAACTTCACCTGAATATCTTTCAATACCTCCTGTTACAGAACAAAGTTATCAACAAAGACACAAATAAGTAATACCAGAATGCTTCAATATTCTCAAATCACAAATAAAATGACAGGAAAGAAAAAAGCAAGTAAAATTATCCTAGATATAAAATAGAGGCCTACGATGACATAAAGATTTGATAATAAGCAGTTCCTGCCTGCCCAAATAATAACCATGGAGGATTACCTTCAGGTTATACATATACCGGGGCTTCACAAATGGAAAAGGGCGTACACCCTTAGAATTTAACTCATGTGAAAAGCTTTTAATATCTGCAGGAAGTTTCTTCCTAGGTGCAGTTGTAGCCTGCATTATGGCTTGAAAACGAGGAGATTCAGACTCTTTTGGTGTTTCACAAGCATCAAATGGCGACTGTGCATAAACAGAACTCCATCTATCAGTGGTGTCAATCTAATCAATCAAAATGCATATTTCATACATTATGGGACCATAGTACAAATGTTTCATTACCTCTGCTTCAGAAGCACAAGCAGCAGAGCTAAAACTTTGACGTGTCTGATCGACCTTCCCTGGGTAACATTTGACGGAATCAATAAGCAAAATCAATTAGGCTAATTTAAACAAACAATACAGAAGCCATAGCTCATACATTTCCCGTGTAGCATATAAATCCCCAAATAATGAAATATATGTTGCATTCTCTAGTTGGCTAAGCACATATATATGCTCCTCAAGCATATACACACCTAAGCCATTTTTTTTTTCTGTATGAGCAATATTGTTGCTAGTATGAGATAATATACTTAATTATAGATATGATCTTGCCTCATTAGAGGTCAAGGGTTGATCTGGTGGCCATGTACTCTCCTTAACCTAGTGCTAATGAAGAGAAAAAATGAGTGCTTAAAAAAGGATGTTTACATATGAGAAGAAGCAGCAAAATCAAAAAGGAGAGCTGGAAAGAGAGAGAGAAGGAAAAGAAGAGAATGCTAAAAGGTTTAGCTCATTGTGGTAGAGTTCTCTTATCAAGAAGAGAAGGGCTATATACATTCATGTGAATTGTAAAATTTTAGAAGAATATCTTCTTTTTAACATGAACAAGAAAGGTACTCTTGAATCCATGATTTACTTCATTATTATATGCATGAGACTGAAAATATGAAAAGCCGGTCCACGTCATAACAAAGATAAAAATGGGAGAACAAGCTTATAAAGATGTAATGTTCCTAAGTGATTCAAGGTTAACTTAGTGGATGAACTTGTTGACTCGAGCCAGATTGGCAAGCTTCCACACCAAACAAAGGTGACAACCTCTCACTCAACTTGGCTAGAATACCGAGAGAACCAAAGGCACTCTCAACGACTTATAAGCATGTTGAATTCTTAATTGCCAATGCCTTTAATTAACATAAGATTAAACTCTCTTGATCAGGGATTACATGGACTACAACATATTTCCTATGTTACGTTAAGAATTCCTGGACCTAACTCTATTAATGTCATTTTTCTAATACACCAGGACAATTGAGAGGAGAAAGAGAATGACAATAATAATACATTTTGGTTCTAGTTTCAATCGTAAGATGTACTTCTGAAGGTAGCATGCATGAAATCATACATTATAGCCAAACTTGTATATATAGAATGCATGTTATATATACTTATGTATTAGTGTGACTTTGTTATTTATGAAAATTGAAAACAAGTGGTTTAATGAGAATCAAGGAACCAACTCATATCAAAACCAATCATGACGTGTTTCCCTTCGGTTGGGACAACCATTGAATACTTGTTTGTCAGTGGATGGGTAAAACAAAATTACTTCTAAGTATCCATGCATAGAATGAATACATGCATGAGCTATTCATCAAACATATTAAGCAATGAAAAATTATTTGAGTTCTCAAAGAAGAGCTGATTAATAGAAAAGATAGTGTCAAAATTTGGAGCACTCCCCGGAGCACTCACTAAGAAATTCCATTATTTATGAACTTCACATAAGTTCTTGATACCCATGTACAACAGATACATTCTCTAATAGGTGTAAATCCTATATATCTTTTATTAACCAGTTTTATCATCATCATTTTGGTTTTAGCCTTGTCAAAACTATACGTTTATTGATTATTCATTCATTATTTTTGCTTGTTGAGTGTTTATTGTGGTGTTGAATTTATTAACTATAAATTCCTTTCTACAAGAATATTCATGTTATTTTTCAAGAATTTATTCTTCATTTATTCTTGTTTCGTGTTGCTTAAGATGTTGAATATATTTAGCATAAATCATTGTACATAGTTCAATTCATATTTAGTTGATCCCTTTTTTTATTACTTAGCAACAATGATGTTAAAAAGCCATGAAATACTGGGGACGACTCAGCACCTTCCCTTTTTTTTTTTTTAACAAATATTAAATAAACATTCATCCCCTCTAACTCTTATGCCCCTTCAAGCAGCTCTCAATAGCACCGAAGTAGCCTCTCACTTGTCAATCATCTGACACGGGGCTTCCCACACAGGTGTGAACCTTCCCACGCGAAAGCAGGACGGGAGAGCTCCAGCACCTAACCCAACCGGTCCATAGGGGAACCGGTCCAAGCACCACGGAGACGACCGGCTCAGGCTGCAACAGGAGACGAGCATAATTCCCTTCCTGTTCTTTGTCCCGCTAAATCGAGCAACATTTTGGGAAGGGCGACAATGCCGCCAACCATATTCCTTCATTTTCTGCTCCTGCATATGGAAGTATTTTAATGACTAATTTCTGAATATTTCTAGCCTCCCCCATCCCTTCATTTTATGTGGGAGATTCCTTCTTTATTTCTTTCCTTTCTTCTTCATGTAAAAGTATTTAATTGCTATTTTTAGAGTATAGAGAGAGATTTTGTTATGTGTTGATTTCAGATTTCTACGTGAAGTTCTTTCCACTTTTGTAGTGCAGTATTCGAGAAGGCGGCGGTGCTCCGATTGCATACTAGTCTAAGGTGGTGATTGTATCTCCCCATTTACTTTCCCCTAGACCTTCCATTCCCTACCCCTTAGTCGCCGACCACTCCAATCCTTCCCCAACCACCGCCAACCCACTTTCTAGCCGACCGAACTGCTATCCGACCCTCTAAGTCTGTTGTCCAGCCCCACAACCCACTGTTGTGCAGCCAAAACTGTCGCCCAACACTCCATTTACTGTTCCTGCCATTTATGCCCCAATTTCTCGTCATTACTGCACAGGACAGCCAACCCCCTAGCTGTTCCTGCAGCTTCTCACTCCACCTTTGTTGTCGCCACCCCTACTAGCTATCTCGATCCACCAAACTAACCTCCACCACCCTCCGACTACACCTTAGAGGTGTTGCTTGTGTCGTGTATGTTGGTGTTGTTATTTTCTATTGTGTGTTATAAACCCATTTTCCTATTAATAAAAGAATGTCTGTGTGTTTACGTTGTTTTCCCTACAAGTTCTGGTATCACTTGGATTACCAACCCTAGTCTTATCCTAAGGTTCCCTAGCATCCACCATAAACCAAAATTTTCTTTCCTACCACCAAATATATTTTCCACAACCTAAAACCTAACTCCACCAATTTTTTTTTTTCTATTCCTTAATCCCTAGCTCTGCCACCATTGAGATAAATACCCAAGCCTTCACTGGAGGAGATAAGACGAGAAATCCGCTGACTTTGGCAGTGCATTAAACCCTAAATCCAATGGAAGACTACTCTCGACCGTGATCTGAAAGGTCGAAGGGGGGAGCGAGAAGATATGATGATGATGAGGTGAGAAACACAGTTTTATTTCCTACCAACTTACTACCACCAAAAGTTGCATTCTAGCTTCCGAAGTGGAGAGATCGCATCACCAAGTGAACCCACTTATTATTATCCAGTGAAATCAATATGTAAGTCTATCACAGATAGAAAATGTTGCAAGTGGCACGAATTTGAACATGTTGAAGCAGAATACATAGCCAAGGGAGTGATCAACTCTACCGAGCACAGCGACATCGAAGGTTGGATAAAGACACTACGAACACTGAAGACGGTAAAGACATAAACGAGGAATACTAGCTTTCAGTTGAAGAGATGAACGATGATTAGGAAGAAGATGAAAACTTCAGAGAAGATTTTGCACGCGCCTCCAAAAAGGAAGAGACGACACCAATTCTAGTTGACCCCAAGATAAAGATTCCAGCTGAGGAAACAATCGCCCCTCTAGAAGGTAGTGACTTTGAGGTAATATGCAGTCCAACAACATATTAGATTATAGTATCTCGAACCAACATTTTACTGACTTTAAGGAGAGCATCAGCAAAACCAGCCCTGGATGTCTACAAATATTATGAGTTTGAGAAACCGACATCACATATAGGGTCACCAAAGATAAGAGAAATGCAGATATTTCAGATTTATAGACCCTCTCCTGAGTTACCCATACGAATAAAGGTCCAACAAGTCCGAAGATAAGTCATTTTGTGTCATGTCGGGAACATTACATGTACTTATTCTAAGTTTATTTTCAGTTCAGCGTGGGACCCATCGCCAAATATCCAGATATGAGAGATGAACCTCAGCTTGGTAATGGAAGGAGTTTAATGGGGAAGAAAATTTTGTAATGAAATACAAGACCTATCAGTGGAGAAGAAATCTTTCCTGAGTGGGTGCTAGTAAGAATGGTGCAGTCTGACACAGATCTCACCCCATATTTAACTTCTCCTTACATACTAGTTCATTAGTTGCACTCAATCGAATACGAGTAGAAGACACGGGTTACAACTGGGATGGCTCGATACATGATTTGTGAGAATACCGGTCTATCGACAGTTCTCGCTCAGGTTGTGCCAAAGATAAATTAATACTTATTCTATCAAAATTTGCTTTGGAGCGACTACACCTATTTGAGCAACCCGCCAGAACATTTGATGTCGTGCTATGAGAAGCTTGAAGATTCGAAAAATAAAGTCAAAGCTCCCCCAACCCCGGAAGATTGACGGCAGAATTCCCGCATTGGCGCGGGGCTTTTCGAGTGGAAGCAGGACATAAAAGCTCCTGCACCTGACCCAACCGGTCCATAGAAGAATCGGTCCAAGCACCACGGATGAGACCGGTTCGGGTTGCAGTAGGAGAAGAGCGGGATTCCCTTCCTGTTTGGTGTCCCGCTTGATAGAGCGGCATTTTGGGAAGAGCAGCAATGCCGCCAACCCTTCTCCTCCTTCCTTTTCTGCTGCTTCTACATTTAGAAGTATTTTAATGACCAATTTTTGAATATTTTTTTGCCTCCCCACCCCTTCCTTTTGTGTGAGAGTTTACTTCTTTATTTATTTCATTTCTTCTTCATATAAGAGTCTATTTATTTGTTTTTTTTAGAGTTTAGGGAGAGTAGTTGTGTGTTGATTTCAGATTTCTGTGCGAAGTCATTTTCCCTTTTATAGGGTTGTATCCGAGAAGGTAGTGGTGATCTGATTGTATCCTACTCTGATGTGGTGATTATATATCTCTCTTTATCTTCCCCTAGACATTTCCTTCCCTGCACCTTAGCCGCCGACCACTCTGATCATTCCCTAGCCGTCGTCA